ATATATATATATATTGCTTGCTATAATGGAGATTTCTAAACGTTATTCGGTTGTTGCTTTAGATGTTGTGTTGTGATTCATTTACTATCATCATTATTTTTGGATGTAGATACATTTCCTTTCTTTTCTTTCCATCCAAGTGTTGGCTCCATCATATATTGGTAAACTACATGGACAGTTGAATACAGTTGATTGATTGTCGTTTTTCTAGTCGGTTGACCATATGGACATTTTCTTAAGACAGTTGCATAGTGGTGATTGAGTTGACTTTTGCTACCACATGGAGATCAAATTTGTTTCCATCAAAATTGGTTTTAAGTTGATCTTTGTATATAATCCACATTTGGGTAAATAGAAAGTGTGCCTCTTCGTCATTATGCCCTTTTGAATGAACACCACATGTAATCGACTACTTTGTGTTCCCTTTACTTGCGGGGAAACATTGTTGTTATTTATTCACTAATTTTATTAAATACAAGACGAAGAGAACTTATTATTTATTTATTGTAGAAATAAGACTTGAGGCTGCAAAAAACAAGGCACAGTAGAAGACAGAGACCATAGTGGAATACAAGATCCAAAGAAAACAAGAATAATCCTCAAAGGAAATAACAAAGATCATAAAATATCTTTTTCTCAAAGGAAAAAAAATACATGATAATCTTTGAACTAAAATATATTTGTTTTAAAGTGTGTTCTTGAAAATAAGGTGTTTTGTCCTTTGTGAATGATTTTATATGAGTCTTAAACCCAATATTCCAAAATCCTTTTGTCTTATATTTGAAAGCACATCTTATAGAAAACCAAACAAAAAATAAATAACAAGGACAAATAATCAATATAGAACATCAATGTCGTGTAGTTTCCCAGTTTTAAAATATTAATCTCAATGAAACTCTAAAAAAAAATTCAGAATTCACAATCTTTTCCGGATGAGACTCTGAAAAGATTTATAGTTTCTTAAAGTTATTATTATTATTATTTTTGTCTTCAAGAGGCCTTCCTTCCACAGATCATAAAGATTTACTGATATACGAACATGGGGGTGAGGACTCTGAGAGCCTTCATCCTTATAGCTTCCGGTTGTCATGGACAGCCAGAAAGAACAAATGTTTTTAATGGTAAAAACTATGCCCTACCTCTATAACTAGTAGTGCTATCTCATGGATCGCAGATAGGATGCCTCCATGTCTCCTGAGGGGTCTAGTGGAAGGAAACTGCAGGATAAATGAGATGAAGGCAGTGGATGCCTCCATATCGTCGAAGGAAACTGCTGGATAAATGAGATGAAGGCAGTGGAAGAGAAGATTAATATTGCCATGGAGGAACGAATCCTTCCCAGGCAGAAACAACCTTCTTGGGTTTTGACTAACCGCGTTAGTAATGTGTTGTCTGCTGAGTTCCTTAAGGTTTTGGGCTTTGATGAGAAGAGCACAGGTATTAATATTATTGGATCCATGCAAACAAGAGAGAAGAAATATTTCCCACGAGATGAGAACTCAAAAAAAACAAAAAATGTATTAATACCATGGTGTGATTCTGTACATAGTCGTGTGCTTGTGTCCTCTCTCTCTCAAGAATCTGCCCTAACATAAATAGAATGTGAACGTAGTTTGTGCCAAGTGTTTGTTGCATACTAACTAAGTCGCAAATTGAAGAGGAAGAGCAAAAAAGAAGAACCAAGCCTGATCGATCAATGTCCACAACCCACCATTGGAATCTTATCTACGATCTCCAATCCTAAACCAAGCTTAAGATCAGTCTCCAAAGGCGGTAGGTTCAGGTCCAACAGCGTCCCTCTGCGGTCGCCCGGCGGCTTCTCCGTGAGGCCATGCCCGAATCCTTCGGCCGTGGTCCTGTGCCGCCTCATATGACCACCCAAGGCCTGTCCGATGGCGAACTCGAGCCCGCAGATGGAGCACTCGTGGACCCTCGGCTTGGCAGCCCCGCCCTGCGCCTGGCCATGGCCGTCGCCGCCCAGCCTCGGCTTCTTGTGGCTCGCTCGGTGGCCTCCCAGCGCTTGGAAGGATGGGAACTGCCGGTTGCATGTCTTGCACTCGAACACCCGCCCCGAGTGATCTCTCTTTTCCGCCCCGCCACCACTTCCTCCTCCTCCTTGAGATAGAAGCATCAGCACATTGGCCATGTTGACGCTATCGATCTGCTCTCCTCCTCCTCCTACTCCTCCTCCTCCCAGTCTATATCTCTTCGTGTCCTTGAAGACATCCATGTAGGAAGCTGTTTCCGAGCAAGGAATGAAGCAAATGAATGAGATCAGGAGATACCGGAGGCTGATACTTATAGGTGTTTGATTGGTGATAGGTACGTGAAGCGAGCTGTTTCTTGGTTGCTTAGATAAGCTAGACTTTGGGTAACCTTCTTGACACGTAAATGGCAGCCAGAGATGACGGTGATGGGATTGGCTACTCCGTCTTAGAAAAATTAGTCTGGTCTTCCTGTTCTAGAGACTGACACAGATCCAACCAAGTTCTGTTCTTATCCTCTGCAACAAAACCCAGTAGTGATCAGAACAAGTCAGCAGCAGACCTGCACAGGGATGTTGCTGTGTGCTTGCCATTATTCCTTCTCGCAAGGCACTCACTGATGAGAGCCAAACAGGTGGGTCGTAGAGGATCAGAAGACACACTAAAAGCTTTGTTGATAAGGTGTGGAGAGCATCACCATCGCCTGGTTTTTCTACATGCTTTCGTGTGACTCCACATCAGTCAGTTGTTCTGGATGAAGCATGACGAGTACACAGTTTTCGTGGTGGAGAATGGAACTGAGCACCTGTCAATTTGGTCAATTCCCATCTGTTCTAGAATGCCGACTAAGTGTCAGCAGAATGCGGCGACCTTTATTAAACGTTATCACTACTTTAGCTTCATCATGGTTTCGTGCCAACTGCCCAAAAAGACAGCAGTGGGCTTCAAAGATCAGCATGTGTGTGTTCTTCACGTTTCATATCTTAGGCTCAATCCGTGCAACGTGACGACATTATTGGTGCTATTATTATTGTTCTTCAAGAAAGAAACATGACAACGATGGCCTCACAGGTTCTGACTTTTAGCTGGAAGACGTAGTCAATGCTGCTGCTGCTTCTGCTTCTTCTTCTTCTTCTTCTTCCATTTCTGGATGGGTTGACTTCGATGTATGATTGACGATCCATTATCTAATACATCCCCCTGCATATTATCGTCATGCCTTCCGTAACGCAGTCTTAAAGAAACAAATCCTAATGCCAGTGAATAATCACCAATTGCTTGAGTGTTTAGCACATCAAGTGCAGCTATTTCCATTTCCAGTTTGGGATATGCTACTCCACGAAGCAACAAGACTTTTGTGGGATGCCATGAATGTGGACATCGGAGGTTGATTCTAGAAGATGGCACAGCTGGAGTAGACACAGCTTCTCTGGCTTGCAGTTAATATGGCATGCAGCGTATGTGTGTACTTAGGAATCTATGGACGAAAGCAGGGAGAAGACGCAGCAAGTCAGCAAGAAACTGGTGGGCTGTTAGATTTGCAAGATGTCTAAGCATAGTTATCAAAGATGGTTCTTGATGTATCAAGGCAACATCGATCTACTTGGGAAGTCAAAAGCACTAAATTCAAGGCTTTGCTTGCACATGTATACAACGACTATAGTATCATTTCTTGTGGTTTGCTTCAAGTTTCAGTGTTTGCTTTGAGTTGACCAACAAATAAAATTGATGATAGGAGTATTTTCTACACCACTACTGGACTTGCATATTGATTTGTTTTTGGTTTCAGTTGCTATCAGACTATGGGCAGAGTTCAGCAGAAGAGTTAAAACTAAACACCTGCAAATGCTTACCCAACTCAGTGAGGTTGTCTTATGCATTACATGAAAAAGACAGCACCAAACACCATGGAACAAAAGACAAACTGATCTTGCAGGAAGAGTAGCTCAATCTTGATAGCAATCTCAGCAAAGCAACTGAACAAGTTGACTTGTCGAAACCCTAATAAAGAATTATGGAAAGGACAGGTAGTGTGGAGTTAAAGACTTGTCTGATAAAGAATATGCTTATCAGGACATTTGAATGCGAAGATGGAAGTATGGACATAAAGCATCTCCCAAAATCTTGCTTCTGCAGAATTCTTTTGCATGAATAGATTTCTTGAGAGCTTGCAGTTTCTTTTCTTTGCTCTTTCTTTTTGTCTTTTTTGGGCTAATTTTGTTCTTGCACTCAACATTGATGAGACCAGCCAGAAAAAAAAAAACATTGAATCAGAAGAAGCGATCAAAATTGTATGAACAAATTACTCACATTCGGCATCAATCAAGTCAAAAGTGAAAGATAAGGGTTTGCCAGAGAAAAAGTTGAATCTACCACAGAAAGTTTAGGAATGTAATCAAGAGTATTAGACCCACAGTATTTTTTATGGAAGTGTTTATTCCAACTTAAAATCTTCTGTCAGAAATTGCAAGTAATCCATAAACAAGCAATAAATTTGGATTCCACAAACCTTTTGATCCTTTTGTATCACAGTATCACTAGATCAGGATTTGCCAAGCAATGGTGCTAAAACTGACCTGCCCTGCCAATTGTCAATTGATCTTGTTTTCAGCATTCTCTTTTACAACATCAAGGTCAGTCTGCTTCTAGTTGCTCTACAAATCGGGAATGCAACTCTAGCTCATCCCACAAGTTTCAGTTGGAAGTGGGAGCCAATGCAAACACACAATTAGCCATCAAATCCAATGATAGAATCATTGAGGAAGGAAGAAGTTCAATGTTCATTTCAAGGTGGCAATCTGCCAGACAGATATGCGGACAACTTATCGCGAAGCATGACTCCATTATTGTCTGCAATGTTGCAGAGTTGCTGCTTGTAACTCGTGTCGTGCTCGTGGGATGACAGCGCATCATCTCTCACCTCATCTTCCAAGTCTATTACTATGTTGTGCAGCAAGCAGCAGACAAGGATTATTCTTGGCAGTCTGTGCTTATCGGGTCTCCACATCTCCCCACCAATGATCTTCCACATATCTTTCAGCTTTGCCAATGCACTCTGTGCCACCGCCACGGTTGCAGAAAGCCTTTTATTGAACTCGGTTTTGGCATCTGAAAGATCCTTCCCTTGGTAAGGAGTGAGAAGCCATGGAAGAAGAGGGAAACCCGAGTCTCCAATTATGTATTCTCTCACTTGAAAACCTTCAGGCAGCTCCATTTCTTCTCCATCCAGCCTTGTACCCTTTTCGCACATTTTAAAGAAGCCTGAGCTGCGTAACACCGATAACTCATTCATGCTCCCAGGCCACCCAGTGGCTACATCTCGGAACCTCATCTGATGGTCAACAATAGCCTGCAACAACATGCTGTGTTTCTTCTCATGATCAACCCATATAACATTAGAAGTGTCTGCTGACGATAGGCACATCATAATATGGGTAGTCCCAATGACACCACAACAATTTGGAAACCCTCGGATCTTTTCGAACTTGCACTTAATATCTTCCATTTCTTGAGTGGTCGGCCATTTGAGATGGTGGATGCCCCTCTCTTCCATAGCTTCCACAAAGCGCCAGGTCACCTGGGAGACAGTTGACTGGTTCACCCCGAATGATACTCCAATATTCAAGAGTGACTCACCGGAGCTTAATCTTCTCAGAGCAACAGCAACTTGATCTTCTACAGATAGGATTTTGCCATCCGCAAAAGCTAAATGTGAAGTTTTTGACATCATGTCATCCCTGACCAATGCACATATGTAGTTGAATGTCGTCCTTGATATCTTGAAAACTGACTCAAACTTTCTCGGTTCTTCAGGTAAAGACAAGTGTCCTGAGAGCACCAAGAATGGAAGCACACATGAAGAATGTTTCATGATTTTCACATGAGAATTATATAATACTAAAGCTGCTTCTTATAAATTCATCACAACAGACATGTCCATGCATTGCATTGGAAAGGAACATTATCATGAAATGGGGATGATATATGAAGACCAAGAACAAGATTTAGACAAAAAATGACCTTTAGCAAATTATATTTAACTATTTCCTTGTATTTCTCATACCAAAACTTTCGATCAACTGAAATATTCATGTGTTGTATAGAAATATAAACCTGAATTTTATATCCTTTGACAACTAAAGTTTAAAGGCATTTTTATTAGAGTGAGCGGAGTATCAACAATAAGGAACATAAATGAGGATACTTATCCTTTTTTCACAGTGACGATATATATATATATATATATATATATATACACACACACACACACATACACACACAAACGGTCAGGACTCCCAATTGTCTGATTGCCTGGTTTATTGGAGCATGTCAATTGGATCATGTGTTCAGTAAATCTTATGGACTGAGTAGTTCTGTAGTGCAATTGAAGAAACACAGAAGCTCTACTTCAGTTTAATCCCATATGTTGAATCTGAAATATGAATAAATATATAGATCTTACTTGCTACTGCAGAAGTTCTGCAACGGACACTCCCATCTATGTTGAAATCTATCGTTGAAAGCTAATCTGAATAATTTGGTCATTTATTTCTAGGAACATTGCCTCTTCAGAGTTGCATAAGTAGCAATGTGTACCTTCTGCAGGATCTGACACATTCCCCCTTTAGGATGAGCAAGACAAGCATGCAAATGGTAAATCGCAAATTTCTAGATGGAAGTAAGTTTAATGATAAAGACTCTTACGAGTAGGACATTGACTCTTTATTATTTTCCTTATTGCAGTACAGTTCTTAAAACTTTTATTCTTTAGCAATCTGTTCTAAAAGTAAACTGTAGAGTTGTATGTGCAGATAATAGCTTGAAAACCAAAAAAATTATGAATTTGACCCTAGTTTCCAGTGATCAAGATTTGTGATTACTATGGGATATGCAGATGCATTAACAGGAGGTTCTGTTCACTGGGAAGGGAAACATATAAAACAAGAAAAATATAGAATGCTTGCTACTTGTACTTATGAAATCAGACAAATTTTGGATGCTTGTAATATAAAAAATTTCATTCGCTTGAAACTTTCAGATAAGTGACACTGCCATATACAGTGTCAGAGGAATCTAATATAGAGTAGTAAGTAATCACTGGAACATAACAATGAGAATTATTTCTGGTAAGTAAAAACTAATTATTTCCTTAATGAAGCTGTACAATGATACTGCACAGGGAATATTTAGTGTTCACCTACAAGACTCACTGCCTACGACCTTCGAAAACAACCAACTGGATCATATGGCTATCAGTCAACTACCAACTACCAATTAAAATGTTTATGACAAATAAACAACCTTACCCCAAAGACAGAAAAAGGGAATCAAGAAAATACAGTTGAGCAATCTTCCAACAAAACAAAATATGCAGCATTTTAGGCAAATTGGAGAAAAAAGCCATGTCTAGATCGAAAAAAATGTGAGATCATTCAACTGTTTACTAATTGGTCTCCTGTGGAACTAAATTATTCAATGTATATCTTGCTTATCGCATGGATGTTTCTCACCGATAAGCTGGCGTGTTTAATTTCCTACTTCAACAACAGCATATGTTGCTGAAAAATTTCATCTTTCCATGATTATCTACAGGTTTAGTCTGCTTCTACAGGTCACCATAGAGATTACTTCTATTGGAAAGACAACCCTTGGCAAATGTGAACACTCAGTATGTCGACTCTTCACTATATTTTAGTTCATCCTAGACAGACCAGGTTAAACACATCAAATATAGACAAAGATATGACATTGAAAAAAAGTAAAAAACTCAATTCTCACCAACCACCTTCATGAAATCCTTTTAGGCTCTAAATGCTTCATGGATGAGGAGCATGGTTTGGGTGGCATCACCTTTCCATAAGAAAAATTTTAGGTTGCTAGTCGCTATGATAATACCAATACCTTTTATAGCATCATGAAACATTCTTTAAGAATTCATTTTCCATTTACTCTCCACTTATAAGAGAAAGAGGACCATTAATATGCAACACAAACTCCACAAAGGAGTACAATAAAAAATCCACCAAAAACCAACAGAGCTTTTACGGTAACTGTTCTCCATTAGTATTTTTTTCATTTTTTTCAGAAACAAGGCTTAAATAAGCTGCCCGAACTTCATCTCAATCAGACTGTTGTGAAGAATGCATTGATGTCCGGATGGATGCATCAACTAAATTACCATCATTTTGCTTAATCAAGAATCCACTGCCAAAGTCTTTGTTTGGTGCTCATCAGTCTAACTAGGATGCAATTATTGATCACTAAAGGAAGTCAGAGTTTAGTTACTGGTACTATCTCAATGTTTAGAAGTTTATACAAAAAAATTGATAATATGAAAATATTATGTATTTTCTTGCATTCGAGTGTGATGTTGGCATTGAAAAGAAATGAAAAGTGTGCGGCGATACAGAAAAGACCATGTGGTATGACATAAAACCTTGAAGTATTAATTATTAAACAGACAGCCCGATAGGTTAATTCAAATAATCTTCCTGCTATATTTGAGGACCTACGATTTCAGTAACGACCATTGCTAATTGTAAACTTCATGTTTCAGGAACTTAGAGGAATGCCACCCCTTGATGCTTGTTGACAGCACAACACACAATAAACACTCCATGATACTCTGACCGTAGCATCCAGTTTGTGACCTCGAGGTACCAGTGTTTGCAAGCCATTGTCAACTGTCTATTCAAGGACTTTCTTGGTGAATTTATTGAGACCCAAACACATTGTTTTCATTGTTATACTTCTAGGTTTAGTTTTTCTTGATATAATGTGGCATGATTGTAAGTTATCAAAAGAGATCATTCACAATTTTTCTTCTTCTTCTTCTTTTTTGCTGTACACTACTCGTTCTTGAACTTTAGACCAAATTTCTCCAAGTCCATAAATATAAGTAACTCCAAACCAAATTCTTCATGATCCACAGATCTGTAAAATTGAGTGACAGTGACAAAGTTCAAAACATTACAATCCAATTTATATTTTGTAGCAACGCAAATAACAAATTAAGATATTCCCAGTATTTTTATCAGTTAACAATGAACATTCACCTCTAAGATTTGAGATGTCATTTCGAGCATTATCATTTACTACATTAAGATCTCTGGAAATTAAAGCATGAATAACAACACTATAAGGGCATCCCCTATTTGATTGCACCAAACATCATTAAGAGAAGCGAAGTAAAGAGATGAAACCACTATCGATGTGCTTCAACCAATTACAACATGGAATGCTTTGATGCATGATTTATCTTAAGGGTCGTCGACATCACTGAGAAATAAAAGTACAATCTGGTGAACATCCAACATCCCCAATCAAGCTTTGCATACTAGATGATAACCTGTATTAATTCTAACCAAGATGATATCGATGCATAAGTGATGATTATAAGAGAATCGAGATTCTAATTAAGGCCCAAATGCCATTACCAAAAAGCACACAAGAAACCCAATCTAACAAGACATGACTGCCATCGATTGTGATCATACTCCCACTAAACCCACTGATTCCATGAAATAGAAGTGAGCATAAAGATGAAGAAGAGGGGAGAAAGAGAGGAACCCGTAATCCTTCTCGAGAAGTCAACCCACCAGTCTCCACCTTCCTGCCCTGCGGCCGCCGCGTCCTTCGCGGCCCTCTTCCTCCTCCTGAACCCTCGAACAGGCCCCATGTTCACGCCTCCACCAACGAGAACTCGATTCAAGCGGTCAGCCGACAGGGTCTAGAAAAGATCAGCGAACTCCAAAGCGATTGAATTAGAAGGAAGAAGACACGGAGACAGGCAGGTTCTCAATCTCCAGAGGAGAGGAGGTTTATAAAGGAGATCGGTGGGGACAAGATGTGGACGGTGTCGGAGGGTGACCGAGGCAGGCATGCAAGGCTAGTCATAGCGACAGGGGAAGAGAAGAAGGTTAGCAGGAGCGAGAATGCTGCAGTTGGGGAGTCGTGGTGGCGCTGCTGCTGCTGCTGCTGCTGCTGTCTCCATGGCATGCACAAGACAAAGCTTCCATGGGTGATGAGTGGAGTGTCGAACGGATCGAGAGCAGCGAAGCGGCATCTAATGAGGATTTGTTGTCTCTGGGCGGTGCCGGTGCAGCCACCACATGTGGAGTCTTGGTTGAGTCCGGAGCCTTTGGGCCAAAGCCAAACCACTCCATGCGCTCCTCACGCAAAGCCTTACATGATGACTGTAGAAATAATCCATCAGCCAGCGTAAGTTGACGCATCTTATTTTGACTTTTGTTGGATTCTTGTTGGCTCATGTGCGTGCGTGTGTCAGATGACGACTCGCCCTGCTTCCTATTTCGTGTTCGGCGGCATATGAGCCTCTTGAGCACTGATAGGCTCGCCTTCTGGCAGCCCAGAATGCCGACGAGGTGTTTGCATAAATGCTTCATAAGGTGGTAGCTCGAGACATGCACGTACAAGGTTGAGGAAGATAGAGAGGAGTGCCTTAATCATCTTGCAACAATAATGGTGCAGGTGGTGAGTGACGAGGACCACATAGGCAACTACAACTATCTTTCTTGATGAACAGAGAAGAATCGAAATCAACATCGACAAAACTGGTGGCTCCTCTCTTTCAAACGACGTCTGCTTCCGAAGAAACTCCAGCTCTATCTTGGACTCTTCTGCCAATGTGGTCCGACGACTTGACTCCTGCAACTGGTCCAATTGAGGAAAAATATGCAAGCACAGTTCGGCTGCATTGCCTACACCATTCTGCCTTACGTTCTCAATGACTAAAAGAAGAAAAGGTTCGACTTGACGATGTGATTTTGGTGGGTTGTTTGTTGTTGTTTGAGTTACCACCAGAGGCTTCACGTCACCAAAAATGTATCGCTTTTGGCTCCCGTAGGATCATCTCAAAAGCCAAAGCGATGGGGCAAGAAGAAAAAGAAGAGACAGGAGCAGGTGAAAAGACGCAAAGAAAAGAAAAAAAGAGACATTTCATCAAACAGCTGTAAGCGGACATTTCATCAAACAGAAATTAAGCCCAGTGTGGCAGCACCAATCTTGGGCCAATCATGCACAAAAGTCCAGCCCAACCACACAGAGAGAGGAGGAGGAAATGCCCCGTTGGTCTTATCAAGACATGAAGGAGAGCTCTCGTGTCCTGGCACTGCAATGCCACCCGATCCCTTACGGATACTGAAGCCGCACCAGATCTGGGAAAAGGGCAACAAGCTATTCTACCCACTAGTTGTGGAGTCCAACAGAACCACTCAGTATCTCTATCCTTTCTTGTGTCTATCTGCAGGATATTGCCATGGATCCAAAGCAGCACTTGATGATGGTGGCCCTGGAAACTAGATATTATCCATCCACTGACCAAGAAGACAAAGTGCAACCCTGCCACGCCCATAACAAGTGGGCAAGACCTTCCTTGTGCTGGTGTTTCCTCAAAGCCATCGATCACATCGGCAACTAAAAGCAAGAAGGCTAAAATGGAGGGATGGAGATAAGAAGCGCAGTGTCTCCATGTTTACGAAGTGTGATGTGCTCCGTTCACGAGGGACCTGTTTGAGGCCGTACCATTTTAGGCTACCAAGTCAACATCGCATCGATAGCCTTCGCGATGACAAACGCGTTGTGTGCATGCATCACCTACATAAAGGAGAGTGATAGAAATGGGTCAGGTCCACCATATCTTACCTTCACTCGGCTCCTTGAATTCTGATATCTAATGGTGGAAAAGCTCCTGTGGATCTTATTTACGGTAAGCTCGAGTTCATCTCAAGAGATGGTGTTGATAGTGATGCCGAAGAACACCATGAGTGCTTAAGCTTAGATTGGGATAGCTTATAAATAGCACCCCGAAGGAATTGGACAAGCATAAAGGACGAGAATGGTGATGGTGAAAGAAGAGTTGCGAAGAGGACCGTGGACGGAGCAGGAGGACCTGCAACTGGCTTGCTTTGTGGCCTTGCTCGGCGAACGACGTTGGGATTTCATAGCCCAAGCCTCAGGTTGGTGACCATTCGTTAGGTGATGGATTGGAGAGTGGTGACAATTCATTTACTGTGTCTCTTGATGTTGTGGCAGGTCTGAATAGAACAGGAAAGAGCTGCAGGATGAGATGGGTTAATTACCTCCACCCCAGTCTCAAGCGCGGCCGCATGACCACCCAAGAAGAGCACCTCGTTCTCGAGCTACATTCTCGCTGGGGCAATAGGTTTCTGCTTGAATACTAGAGCTAAACGTCATTTTATAGCCTCTTCCATGTGGATTTATTTTGATGGAGGTTCTCAGGTGGTCTCGGATCGCACGGAAGCTCCCCGGCCGCACTGATAACGAGATCAAGAATTACTGGAGGACTCATATGAGAAAAAGAGCACAGGAAGAGAAGAGAAACTGCTCACCTTCGGCGACGTCTTCCGCACCGCCTGCTGATGATCTCCCCACCCGATCAGAGGTCGCTGCGGAGAGTCAACTTAATGGAAACGGTGACGGTGGTAATGCTGACTCCGTGGATGAGGTGTGGGATGAGATTGCACTAAGCTCTGGGGATCGCAGGGATGAAGCCGGCGGTTATGCATGCACCCCTTTGACTTCCGCCACTCCTGTGTGGGAATGCTGCTCTGGTTCGCTGTGGAAGACGGAAGACGAAGAGCTCCATGGCGTGTCATTTGGTTTCTGAGTACCAGAAGAACAACGGGGAGCCTTGTTCTCGAAGCCTGTTCATGCATGACGTTCGAAGATAGTTGTGGATCCATTGAAGGAGGATGGTATGAACAATGTAGGTTGGGGGCTCGATGTCATAAGTGGTGCGTGTAAAAGGATGTGCCACGGGCTTGCTTCTTTTCTCTTAGGTACACCAAGTGAGGGTATATCTATCGGGAGACACAACAGATATCCATAAACGAAGTGTTCGATCCTCTTGCTTCTGGATGATGGATGGCAGTAATATAGTAGCTTCATATGACATAAAACATGGTTGTCATTATGTAGTTTGGATCATGCATGAATCATTGCTATCAATCCTTTGGAACCATTGCAGCTTTCTCCATTCCACTAATCCTGACGGGAAGAAGATGATGGGCATCTTAGATCACTATAGAAAGCTACTGCAGGACAGAAGATGATGGGCATCTTAGATCACTATAGAAAGCTACTGCCTGTGAACTGATAGAACGAGAGAATGAAGAATGAAATTATAAGGATAAAGTAAAAAGACACATTTCAAGTAGTATCATGTGAAGTCTATTTATACACAGTGAAAGAGGATATTTCTTTAACTGAGCAGAGAGATTTCCTCATGCAGTTGAGGAAATCTCATCTGCTATCATGCCCCCGCAAGATCGAGCTCCTATCAAGGATACCGATCTTGGATCGATGAAACAAAAATAGTTTGCGGGCTAGAGGCTTCGTGAGTGAGTCTGCAAGTTGATCAGCCGTATGGACATGAGAGACACGAAGTTGATGTCTGACAACTTGATCTCGAACGAAGTGAAAATCGATGGCGATGTGTTTCATGTGCGAGTGGAACATTGGATTGACACATAAGTAGGTAGCTCCAACATTATCACAATATATTGTGGGAGTATGAGTAAAGCTAACTTTGAGTTCCTTGAGGAGATTTGTGATCCAGTTGAGTTCAGCAGTAGTGGTAGCAATAGCACGATATTCAGCTTCAGTTGTAGACCGGGCCACTGTCTTTTGCTTCTTAGAACTCCAGCTGATTGGATTAGACCCAAGAAATATGACATACCCTGACGTGGAGGTTCTATCATCAAAGTTTCCCGCCCAATCAGCATCAGCAAAGGCATGGAGATGAAGCTGAGTGGTTTTGCGGAGAAAAAGACCATGATTAAGGGTCCCTTTAAGATATCGCAAAATTCGTTTAACTGCAGACCAATGTATAGCAGAAGGTTGGTGCATGTATTGAGACAATTTATTGACTGCAAATGAGATATCTGGACGGGTGAGAGCCAAATATTGTAAGGAGCCAAGTACTTGCCGATATTGAGTTGAGTCCGTGGTAGGGCTGCCATCACATAATTTGAGTGATTCACTAGTAGAGAGAGGAGTAGCAACTACTTTCGCATTCTGCATATTTGTCTTTGATAATAAGTCTTGAATATACTTTCTTTGAGAGAGGAAGAGACCGGAGGATGTAAATGTTGCTTCCATTCCTAGAAAGTAGCTCAATGGTCCTAAGTCTTTGAGGGAGAATCGATCAGCCAATTGATTTAAAAATGTTTGAACCTCCAAGGGATCATTG